GAAGGAAGGAAAACAGAAGAACAAACGGCTTCAAGAAAGGAAGGACGGGACAACAAAAGGACAAATGGACGGATATGAAGAGAGGAAGGACAAAATAAAGTAAAGAAGGAAGCAAGAGAAGAAGAAACTTTTAGAAAATCGGGCAGATGGAGAACACAGGACATCACACGCGGCTGTCCGAACTCTTTCAAGCACACTGTGAATATAAATCCAGCTCCAGGCTTTCCGCTCGGCACACGTTTCGTTTCCTGCTCACCTTGAAGCCTTTCTTCAGGTCCTCACAGAGCTGCGAGCAGCCGCTCAGCTTACTGTTCAGACACTCGTTGATGAAGCAGTTCAGCTCATCAGAGCCGTCGCCGCAGTCGTCCTTATGGTCACAGAGCAGAGCCTCAGCGATGCACTTTCCATTACTGCAGGCGTACGCGGTGTCGTTGCATTTCTTTTCTGTTCAGTCGAACAAAGAAATTAAACGAGAAACAAGCGGAGAGAAAAGTTCACTCGAGCTGATGACATTTCAAAGATCACTTCAGACGTTATTTCTAGTCTGTTGAGAAATCTTTCCAGCTGCCAGATATGATCAGACTTTTTCCTTTCAAATAAGCATTTTTTTTATTCAATGTTCAATGAAACATTTATTGTGGTTGTTTGCAGATTATCTATTGCTTTCTCTGCTTTAATGTTGTTTCTATTTTGTATTCAAATCATTTCCTGCCTTTTTTTCCCAGCTTTTCTGGTTTAATTAACCTTCCTAACCCAGGAAAATCTAATTTTATGAATAATCATTTTTACTATATTGTCCTGCCCAATACTGACAGCAACTGTCATAAATAAAGTTATGCATAAATCTGAATAAACAACTACAATAATAATAAAAAAAAATCCCTGATATTCCAGTTCTTGTTTTATGCATTAATCTCAAGTCTATGTTACAAAAAAGGCATTAAACTCTTGAAGCAAATTTTCATTTCCTAAAGGAAAAACTCTAAGAAATGCAACAAATACAGTTCTGGAAAAAAATGAAGAAATTAAGAGCCCACTGCACTGAACCCCACTGGAAACCTCCTGGTTTTTCCACCAAATATTGATTTCTGATCCCTTCCTGAGTTAAAACATCCGTATTGTTGTTTCTAAATGAATGTTTTCTTTGCATTGTTTGAGGTCTGAAAGTGCTGCATCTTGTTTGTTATTTTGGCAATTTCTTATTTTCTGCAAATAAATAGTAAATTGTTGCTAGGAATTTCTGAGACATGATGTCAGCAGTTCATAGAATAAAAGAACGTTTGTTTTACTCAGACTTATACCTATAAAGAGTAAAATCAGAGAAACTGATCATTTTGCAGTGGTCTCTTATTTTTTTTTTTTTCCAGAGCTGTGCGGCGTGTCTGCATCTGACCTGGACTTGAGCAGTGAGGGTTTTTCGGCGCTTCGTCTGAATGGTCGTGGCAGTCAAACTCTCCATCGCACTCCCAGGACTTGTGGAGCAGACAGCTCCCGTTGGCGCAGCGGAAACTGTCGGGACCGCACGGCGGGTAGTCTGCGGTGACAAACAGCGAGTGTGCTCAAATAAAAGTGGCAGGAGAAGGAGGAAGCGTTAGAACGACTGGCCCATTATTTCCAAGGCGGCCGCTTACGGCACTCGGGGGACTCGTCGGAGCCGTCTCTGCAGTCTTTGTCGTGGTCGCACACGAAGTGCTTGGGGATGCACTCTCGGCTCTGGCACATGAACTCGTCCCCGCTGCATGTGTCGTTGAAGACTGAGACGGAGATCGTTTGGTGAGAAAACAAGTGATTTGTTTCTTCCTCAAACAGAGCAGAGGGGTTCAGCTCACCACATCCTGCTGTGACGCTCTCGTCGACGCCATCCGGGCAGTCTTTGTCGCCGTCGCATTTCCAGCGTTGAGGAATGCACACATTTGACCCAGGACATCGAAATGTCCCCGGACTGCAGCTTTTATTCTCTATAAAAAAAATGTTGCAGCTCAGCCACATGTTTTTTTTTTTTAGAGTACCATAAAAAAAAACATAAAGCCACACCCAGGTGAGCTATCCTCGCTTTTATATACAGCGCAGGTGTAATTCTACCCCTTGAACGTGTCTTTTTTCACATTTTCTCATGGTGCAGTCACAAGCCTCAAAGTTTACTAAGTGATCTTTAACTGACAGGACAACAAGTGGTGCAAAACTGTGAAATGGGAAATGCCATTCAAAAAATCTGAAAAGTGTGGTGGGTATTTATAATCAACCAACCTTAATAAACATTTTTAAAGTTGATTCTTACATTCTTTGCAGGTATATGAGATTATTGGAGGCTGAACACAAATACATGCCACTATTTTCAGACTTTTATGTGTAAATCACTTCAATCGAGTATGAATATTGCATTATACAGCTATGTATATATTTTTTTTGATGCGGCAAAATTTATTTAGCGCTTACTGCAGTGAACGTCCTCGTCGCTGCCGTCGCCACAGTCGTCAGCCCCGTCACACACCCAGCGGCTGAAAATGCAGCGGTGGTTCTTGCACTCAAACTGTGACGGTGAGCAGACCTTGTCTACATAAAACAAAGATAGGGGCAATGAAAGAGGCATCGCTCCTCCGGGGAAAATAAAAATCCGTCTGGATTTCAGCTCGTCTCAGGTCGTACCACAGTTAATTTCGTCGGCACCGTTCTCGCAGTCATTTTCACCGTCGCACGTCCAGCTCATGGGGATGCAGCGGTTGCTCGGGCACGCAAAGAAGGGCAGCGGACACTTCGTCCTGCCGGCCCCTGACAGAGCAAAGTTGGCAATAAGCAGTTTAGTATGAGAGGAAAAGGCTTTTTCCACATGAAATCACCTCCTGTCTTATAATTAAGTTCAAACTGTTCTCTTTTTATTTTCCTGTTCCTACTGGCGTAATCTAAGATGAATACTCGACGCATCAGTCGATGAGGATTCAAAGCACCTGGGCAGTTCCTTTCATCTGAGAAGTCTCCGCAGTCGTTGGCGCCGTCGCATTGCCATGAGGGGGCGTAGCAGAGCGTGGTGAACTCACACTTCTGAAACATCACACTCTTCACTCCCAGATGGAAGTAAGAGGAACAGTCCGTGGGAGCTTCGCGAAGAAAAACAAGCATAAAACTGAAGCCTCCGAGCGACATGCTGAGTTTAGCATGAAATTATTTACTGTTCCGTCCAAGAGAATGGATCAACTTACGACAGTTCATCTCGTCGCTCGCGTCCTCGCAGTCCACCTTCTGGTTACACTTGCTGGAGTTGGAGATGCAGCTTCCGTCTCTGCACTGGAACTGGTCGGCGGAGCACAACGTGGCTGGAGAAAGAGTTCAGGTAGATTAGTATTCTGAGCTGGAAAACTCAGCCGTTTTTAGCCTTTCCCAGTTATTTAGTACTTTAGTTTTAAACCCTTTTGCAATATTTTGTAGTAATTTTAATCCACTGCGCTCTCCCCGCTTTCTCAAAATAAGACTCACTATTGCAGAAGACTTCATCCGAATTGTCTCCACAGTCATCCTGCCCGTTGCACCAGGAGCTGTGCCCCACACAGCGGCCATTTGTGCACCGCCTGTAGCCTTTCTTGCACACGCGATTGGCTGAGAATCAGAGAGAAATGGGGTCAAATTACTAATCTCAGATGGAAAAATATGTGATTGTACACAGGAAAGATTGTCCTCACCACAGTAGGACTGTTTCTCATCAGACTTGTCCTTGCAGTGAGCCATGCCATCACAAGTCAGAGTGTAGTTCACGCAGTCTCCGTTTCCGCACTCAAACTCATCAACGCCTGTACACGTGGAGTTGACGCCTGAGGCACAAACACAGGAGGGCAAACGCAAAAGTTTTCAATTTACACCTAATTAAAAACCAAAATTACCTCCAAAATATCTTTGTTTTGTTTTTTTTTGTCAAAACTTGTATTTTTCAAATTATTAATTGCAGGCTATTCTCTCAGATGTGTGATCAGAGAGCAGAAGCAATAGATAGATTGGGGAAAACATCCTCATAAAACAGAATCTAGTAAAGAGCATTAATGCTTGATTATGGATCCACACATGTTAACCCAGACTGTTTTTAATTAGTCCGGCTCTCGTCGTACCGGTGCAGGTGTTGTCCTCCAAAAGCTTTCGTTCGCCACGGCAGCCGCAGGTGACTCTTCCTTCAGAGCTCAGCAGACACAGGTCCTGACATCCTCCGTTGTGGACTCGGCACAGAGAGAACTCACCTGTGCAAACATGAGGATTGTGAGAAGTACACAAAGCTGCACATGGTACCTAGAAATTAGACCTCACAACTACGGCAAGACCATTTATCATATAGCAATCACACCGGATCCCAAGTAGAGAAGTCCAGAATTTTCTCATTCTTGAATATCAAGCCCTCAGATCCAGATATCTATATTATTTAAAGGCTTGCATGTTTATCTTCAAGCAATGGCGTTGTCTTAAAAATGTGGTCAAACAGAGTGTAATTTGCAAAGAGAATCTGAATTCATGTACATGAAAAGGAACAAAAACCTAGATTAGCTTTTTCTGCACATTCATGTCAGGTTATTTGTGCAGAGAGCTGCAATAATGACAATCCCTCTGCACATCATGCTAAGCCCTAACTTACAGCTGTTTGTGTCGTTGGCCACGGCAACAATGCCCATGGGCTGCTGGGGGATGTCGGCGCGCAACACCTTCATTTCACCCCCGGTGTATTTGTCGGCCCGAAGCACAGCCCTCCTGACCCAGTCCGTCCAGAAGATGTAGTCTCCGTAAACAGCCAGGCCAAACGGATGGACCGGCTCGTTCTTCAGCACCACCTGAGGTGGAAATAACAGCTTATGACATCAGCTGATCAGGAAATCACAACCACACATATTCTATCGCTACTATTGGCACCGCCACACAAAAGGTCGGACGCGTGATGACGTACGTATCTCCGACTGCCGTCGTACTCGCAGCGCTCAATCTTGTCAAGGGTGGCGTCAGAGAAATAAAGCTTCTCAGCTCGGTGGTCGATGGCCAGCCCGTTGGGGGTCCTGATATCTGTGCCGATGATCACCAGGACGTTGGAACCAGCCAGCGTAGCGCGCATGATGCTGGGAGACTGCTCATTCCAGTTGGTCCAAAACATCAGGCTGCAATGCAGAGACACCGCAACACATACATGGTCAGCGTTATGAACAAACGTGTGAAAGCTAAGAACCCAACCAGCTCTGACCTCTGACACTCGTCAAGCACGAACGCCCTCGGGTGGTCGTCTCCCGACATGGTGACCACGGTGTTCCGGTCGACGGCGCCCCAGCGGCTTTGGTCCACGGTGTGGCGGGTGATGGTTGACGTAGTGTAGCTGGTCCAGTACAGCATATCCCAGCCCCTGTGGTACGCCAAACCCTCCACAGAGCCCACGTCTGACACAGGAAGGAAAGCGGAGAAGCGCGTCAGTCACAGGTTGTGTTCAAATGCCAAAACGCAGTCCTCTACTTGCAGGTAAGTGCTGCCTGGTGTCACAAAGTCACAACTCTGGACATGACAGCTTGCTGTAAAAGGGAGTGAGGTGTCATTCGGGTCTTTTATCCAACAACCACGGTGCCAAAAGGACACGGGGAAACTTTTTATTACACTACCTCATCAACGGATGAGAGGGGATCATTTTCTGTTGCACAACCTTGAAATGAGCTAAAGCAGGGCTGCCCAATGCGTCTATCGAAAGGTTTTGAGTCGATCTCGGCAGGTGACAAACCTGAGACCAGCACTTCGTCTTCTGACAGGCTTATCAAAAATAGTCACTAAGATCCTAAACGTTTGTAGTTTCATTAAAAAATAATAATTATAAAAAAAATCAACGAAACGTGTTAAAATTAATAATCTCAGTAATTATTGTTTGAACAATGTGTTGCGCAATTCAGTGCGTTTCGGTCCCATTAACAGAAAAAGAGCAGAGCAGGAGTTTAAATTAGCTACTCAACCAGCGCTGTGTTCATGAGAGGCTTATTAATAATCGAGAAATAAATATCAAGCCTGGAAACCTGATATGGTAACGGACTGAATGTTGTGTTTTTAAAGTAATCTCTGCTCGGCGTGTGGGCACAGGCGGTTGCCACGGGAACGGATGTGCTAAACAACAAAGAGACAGAATAAAAAGGTAGGAGTGGTTTAGAGTTGATCGTCTGTTCGGGTTGTTTTACCTTTGTTTACCTTTGCTGTGGCTCTTCACACCTGCTGTAGTTTCTGAACATTCAATAAACGACAAACTTGGACTAA